TTTGGAGAAAGATAATACTAAGTTAGTAACACATATTGGAAACCACAGAACAACTGCAAAACAGAACTAATGGTTACAGCCAATAATAGTAATTAAACGAAAATCTTAAAATAATACCTGAAGATGGAAAAAAGGAACAAAGAGATAAGTAGAAAATAAACAGCAAGGTAACCGCCTTTAATTCAACCGTTATTAGGAATTATGGTAAATGTACTCATTAAAAATGCAACAACTGTCAGAATAAGTAAAAAAGCAGTATTATGCTAACAAGAAACCCACTTCATATATGAAGAAACAGACACAGTAAACACAGAAGCATGGAAAAAGATGCAAACACCAATCAAAAGAAAGCTGGAATCACTATACTAACATCCAAGTAGATGTCACAACCAAGACCACCACCACAAATACTGAGCGAAGTTCAGTTCATCAACAGGCTATGAGAATTCTGAGTGTGCATGGACCCTAACGAGGTACACAGGACAACAACTGATAGAACCCAAAGGAGAAAGAGCGCATCTTAAAAGTCTTCTTTCATTAATTAAGAGAATAAATGGTAGAAAGTAAGTAAAAATACACAACATTTAAACAACAGTTTTCATCGACTTGACCTAATGAACACTGACAGGCTACCCACAGAACAGCAGAACACACTCTGTAAACAGGCTTGAGCACAGACCCACAGAAAGCATGAGCCGAGTCACAAGTCCCAACCTGTGACGTAAGACATGCCGGGGCCCATGAACGTAACAGAATTAAATAACAGCTAAGTTACAAAGGACATCAGGAAAATCCCCCACCACATGGTAAGGAAGCAATGTTTCCAAGTAAAGGAAAGGTGAGAAGAAATCACAAAGGAACTAGAAAATATTTCAACAAAAACATAATGAAAATACAGTGTATAAAATTTATGTGATACAGGTTAAGTAATGCTTAGGTGAGTCACAGTTCTCAGGGCTTATAACAGAAAAGAACAAGGTAAAAAAATCAAGAGTCTCACTTCTGCTTTAAAAGTCAACAAAGAAAAGAAAAATGAACACAAACTAAGTTAGAAAGAAGGAAAGGAAATAAATGTCAGAACAGAGGACAGAAAATGAACGAACAATAAAGATTATCAAAGACACCAAAAACAGGTTCTTTGAAATGACTAAGTCAATTAACCTCTCATGAGACTGTCCAAGAAAAAAAAAAAGAGATATAAATTACCAATATTGAAGATGCAAGAGGGGATCCTACAAAAACTAAAAAACAAGAACATAACGAATTTTATACCATAAAATTTGGCAACTTACATGAAATAAACTCTTTGAAAAACACAAATTTCCAATGAACAAAAAATCCGATTAACTCTACTATCTACTTCAGAAATTCAATTCACAACTAAACACTTTCCCACAAAGTAAACTTGTGACTCAGATAGTTTCAAGGGGAATACGTTCAATAGTAAAAAAAAATTAATAAATAACACCAATCTTACACCAACTACTTCAACAAATACAGGAGGCAAAAAGACTTCCCGACTCATTTTATGAGGCCAGCACATCCCTAGGTAACAAACCAAATGCATTACAATAAAAACAAAACAGACAAATACAAACAAAAGCAACATAATCAATATTCCTCGTGAATATAGGCACAAAAGTCCTTCCCAAAATATTAGCAAATCAAATACTGCAATATATGAAGAGGACACTTAGCATGAACAAATGTTGATTTGGTTTACCCCAGGAATATGAGATTGATACAATCAATCAGTCCATACAGATCATCCTATTAACAGATGACAAAGAAAAATCATACAATCATGTCAATAAACACAGAAGATCCAATCCCCATTTATGATAAAGCCTCTCAGCAAACTAGGAATAGAAAGAATTTCCTCAACCTGTAAAAAGAACCTACTGCTACCATCACACATGATGTTAAAAGGTTACGTGTTCCCCGAGATTGGAAAGAAGACCAGGATGAATGGTTTCACCGCTTCTGTTCAACAGTGCATTAGAGATCGCAGCCGGTGTGATACGCAAGCAGAAGAAAGAGAAGGCCGTCTATGCACACTTGCATGGAAGAGCTATACTGTCTTCCTTGCCCATGACACGGTCATGTACAGAGAGCATTCTAGGGAATTACACAAAAGCCACTGAAAAGACATGAACAGACATTTCACCAAGGAGGATACACAGATGGTAAACAAGCACAAGAAACACGGTTCAGGGGGCGCCTGGGCAGCTCAGTCGGTGAAGCATGCGACTCTTGGTTTCGGCTCAGCTCATGATCTGAGGCTGTGGGACTGAGCCCCGTGTTGGGCTCTGCACTCAGCGTGGAGTCTGCTTCTGATTCTCTCTCCCTCCCCCTCCTGCTTGCTCTCTCTCAAATAAATAAAAATCTTAAAAACAAAAAACAAAAACTGTTCAGCCTTGCTAGCCATTACAGAAACACAAACTAAAATGAGGTATCACCACACACTTACCGAGACAACTAAAATTAAAAAATGACACCACCAAATATTAGCAAGGCTGTGGAGAGACTCGAGCACTCACGCACTGTTGGTGGCAGTGCTTCATGGTACAGCTGCTCTGGAAAGCACTTTGGCCGTCTCTGCGTGCACACTCTCCCACACATCCCTGACTTGTGACTTAATGACTTACTAGCTCCCCACTCGTTCCTGTCCACTGTGAAGTGGACAAAGGTCAGCTGCTTCGTGAGAAAGAGTCAATGTCAACCTCAACTATTACCTTCATCAGCTGGTCCAACAGAATCTGCTTTCCCTCATTCACAATCAATCAGTCAATAAGTTGTACTAACCCACATCATATAAATTATACATAATATCCTACAGAATTTAAATAAACCGTCCCAGAACACTGAGAAGGAAGACTGAAAACAAATCATCGAGCGGTGGTCCACCTTGCACTGACTCAGAAACTGATCTAGATCAGTAGTTCGGACAATTTTCAGAAACAACTTCTGATCTGAGGAATGATGGAGACCACAGATGTACAGGAGATGCAAGACTATTTCTGTGTCTAAGGAAGGAACAATTAAAAACAGGACACACTTTGCATATGTCTCGCTTTATCAACTCAATACTATACACCACATGAGCATATGTATGATTTTCTAACTGGCAAACACCAATACGAAAGTGGGCGAAAGAGAAGGGCAAAGCAACAAATAAACACAAATTTCTAGTGAACACGTGGTGGGGAATTTCAGCCATACTGGAACAAGGAGGTACAAATGAAAACAATGAATGGTCTAAGTTTTCTCCATCAGAGATTTTTTCCTTCAGGAGTTACTTTAAGTGTTTTGAAGTACATTCACCAGTAACCGCATTCTGCTTGTTACAGGGGCTTGGGCACAGCCCTTCTGAGATGACCACCACGAGCTGAAACCACAGGTGTTCCTTCACACACCCCCTATTCTACTTTTCAGAATTTACCTGAAAAAGGAAGACTTGCTATTTACACGCCTCCTCCTAATGTTTACATATGTAAAAAAGCCAAAAACCAGGAGTTGCCTACTTGCTCCCACCCATGACAGAGGTGTACAAGGTTAGCTGATGAGCCGAGAGGGGCCATTCTCCAGCTCAGGGGTTGGGAAACCAAGACCTGGGGTTCAAATCTGACAACCTGCACTCTCTTCTGTGTCACCCTTGGGGTAAGAATGGTTGTGGTTTTGTTTTTTTTTAATCTTTAAAGGGTTCGGGGGGGAAAAAAAGGAGCAGGAAAGGCAGGAGGTTAGGCTGTGACAGACATATTACATGACCCACATTGTTATGTGACAATGAATAAATGGACAAAAGAAAGAATCAGCAACTGCTCACTAGCGACCAGAAAGTCTTGCAAGATATACACAAAACATATAAAGGAATAAATTTCAACCTAGGGACCACATAAAGCATAGACAACCAAAAACTCCTAAAGAACCAAATATTTCCCAGTCTTGCACATGTCAAACGTGTATAATTTCCAAAAGGTCCAGTGTACACACGAATGAGGAAGGCTCCTGCTGTTCATGGTAAATTAACTGTACATCATATGCAGTGCAAGTAGCTACTCCTATCCAAACCCAACCCATCTAAGGAAAGCGACCAAGTCTATACTACTACCCAAGTTCCCTTGCCTTTACCAACAAGTGCTCGAGGCAAAGGTCACTCGTAGACCACCTCAAGTTTTCTTTACTCTCCACTGCATATCAGCAGATCATGTAGGAAGAATGAAGCTCCTCTCATTCAAATACATACTAACGCCTAACACAAGCACCAAATGGCCTCAACCGTGGCTTTGTTAAAAAAAAAAGATGTGTGCCAGCTTAGTAGATTCTCAGCATTTGTGAGAGATCGTTGAAAATGCTGAAGTCCATACATACTATTCTCTCTAATCCCACCTCTTGCCTATTCCCCAGGAACAAAGGGGCACTGGGCAAAGACCAGGCAAGGTGCCTGACGGTGTCCTCTTCCTTCTCTCTTGGTCACAAGACACAGTAACACTGTCCCTCCTCCTAACAGAAGAGGGTTCTCTACTGTCCCAGGTAAAGCAGAGTGGACATGCCTGTCTCCAAAAGGAGGCTTAACTTCGTCTGAGTTCCACAATCTGCCAAAACTAATGGACACCAGCCTACCACAGAGTTAAGTCAGTTAGCAAAAAGGGACTCAATTATGGACTCATTTCACCCCGCCAAAAGTTCTCAATCTTAAAGATTACTCAACTGCAAGGTTTACAAATAAAAACCAGAAGGGAAAGGAAAGCAGGAGAAGAGAAAAGGCGACGACAGTCCCGGGCCAACAGGAGCGCTGCAAACCCACAGCGAGAGCAAGTCATGTGCCAGACAGCAGAGAAATTATTCTGGCATAATTTTCAAGCACCCCTTGTTAGTACTACGAGAATCATTTTTAGGAACCCGTGCACTCAAGAAGTCAGCTGGTGTATGCAGAAATGGATCTGCTGCCTGGGAACGCGCACGAAGTGAGATGGCGCTGTCATTGCAAGAATGCTCACCCCCAGGGCTGGCAGCCTCTGTGTGCAGCTCACCGCCACCTTCAGCTTCCAGTCGGTTTCACCATCAAGCTGATCAGTTCGAATAAAACACGAACCTTGGAATGAGACAAGAAGATTCCAGAGTTACAGGTGCTTGAAGACCACCGGTGTGCAGCACAGTGGGATACAGCAACGACACAAAAACCCTAAAAGCCTTTATATATTTGACTCACAAACAAGTGCGCTGAGAAGATACAGGCCACTAACGAATTACTTACCTGCTACGTCATGTCCTTGCCTACGGAGGCGTATTATTAATTAGGGCTTTATTTTAAAAAAACTGCTTTGATCATTTCTACCTTTAACTCATGTTTTAATAATAAAATAATAAGTAAATACACAAAAATATCCAAGAGTGTGCCATAACTTTGCTAATAAATTATCTCACGTACCACCATAAAACATGCATTCAATAATAAAAGCACAGCTAAAATGCCAAAACCCAGGTAAGATCTATTGTCATACAACCCAATCAAATTTTAAACATGAAAAAATATTAAAGTAAACCTCCATTCACCCTTTGACCATGCTATCACACCATTTCTCAGAACCTATCCTAAGACAGAATAGCAAAACACAAAGTGACATACATACAAAATGATCCTGTAACATTATTTATCGTAACAAAAGGCTGGGAACAGACAATGTGAGAATCAATGAATAAAAGGGAGTACAAGCAGCCATGTAAGAAAGACAGGCTTGAAGACCAGGCACAGACAGGAGACAGGGAGCAAGCCAGGAAGGGAGGGAGGGGGAGAGCGAGGGAGAGAAGGAGAAAGAGGAGGGAGGGAGGGAATAAAGGAAAGGGAGGGAGAAAGAGAAAGACCTCAATGTTTACCGTTAACGATCTGCAGGGTGTACACGCAGTAAGGTCTCAGGGAGGGCCTACACATGGCCAGTCCCACCAGCCAGCAACACTGCGGCAACAGTCTGTCACTGTACTTTGTTTCCCACATGACTTAAGAGACCAAGAAATTGAAAGAAAAAAGCAATCATTGCTCTAAAAGTTGGAATTCTGTAACTTTGGCTTGTAACTCCACACCTGGTCGTCTATGTAATTTAAAAGGCTAATGCACTTAAAATAATTATTAGTTTATGTTTTTTGGATATGTAACATTTAGAGATGTAATTCTGTGACATCTACAACCAAAGGGGTGGGGATGGAGCTGTAAAGGAGCAGAGTTTTATATGTTACTGAACTTCAGTTGGTACAAATTCCAATTAGAGAGCTATAACCTAGGATGTTACGTGGAGATGCCACGGTAACCACACGGAAAAACAGCTACAGAGTAGACACAAAAGGAAATGAGAGAGGAATTTAACCATTTCACTACAAAATATTACCTGAAACAGAAAATAATACAGCAAATGAAGATGAAAAAGAGCTCTGAGGCACATGGAAAACAAACTGCACAACGAGAGAAGTCTTTTCTTATCATTACTTGACCCTGTAAATGCATTAAACTCTCCAATCAGAAACAGAGATTGCCGGAATAAGTGACAACACATAATCCAACCACATATGCGTGGAGACGAGACTCACTTTACACCCAAAGACACAAAGAGGTTGAAGTGGAATGATGGCAAGAGATACTCCATGGGAAACAGTATGGAAATTCATCAAAAAATTAAAGACAGAATTACCAAATGAGGCAGGCAATTCCACCTCTGGGTATAAACCGCTAAGAGCTGAAAGCAGGGTCTCAAAAAGATATGTGTAGGGCGCCTGGGTGGCTCAGTTGGTTAAGCGACTGCCTTCAGCTCAGGTCATGATCCTGGAGTCTTGGGATCGAGTCCCGCATCGGGCTCCCTGCTCAGCGGGGCGTCTGTTTCTCCCTCTGACCTTCCCCCCTCTCGTGCTCTCTCTTTCTCATTCTCTCTCTCAAATAAATAAATAAAATTTAAAAAAAAAAAAAAAAGATTCAAAAAGATATGTGTATTCACATGTTCATAGCAGCATTACTCACAAGAGCCAAAACATGAGAAAAACCCAGTGCCCATTGATGGATGAAAGGATTAAAAAAAAAAACAAACCCAACTGTGGTCTGTATGTAGAATGGGGTATTATGGAGCCTTAAAAAGGAAGGAAATTGTGCAATATGCCACAACACAGATGAACCTTGAGTACATTATGCTAAGGGAAAGGAGCCAGTCACAAAAAGACAAATACCGCAGGATTCCACTTATATGAGGTTCTGGAGGGGTCACAGTCATAAAAACAGACAGTAGAACGGTGATTACCACTGGTGGAGAGGAGGGGAGAATGAGGAGTTATTTTTAATGGCATAGAGTTTCTGCTCTACAAGACGAAAACAGTTACAGGGATAGATTATAGGGGCAGTTGTACAATGATGTGAATGTATTTAATAAAACACCACTAAACTACATATTTAAAAATGGTTAAGATGGGGCACCTGGGTGGCTCAGTCAGTTAAGCATCTGTCTTTGGCTCAGGTCATGATCTCAGGGTTCCGGAGTCAAGCCCCAAGTCAAGCTCCCTGCTCAGAAGGGACTCTGCTTCTCCCTCTGCCCTCCTCCTGCTCGTGCCTGCGCTCATGTGCTCTCTCTCACGCACGCACACAGAAATAAATAAAAATCTTTTTAAAAAATAGTTAAGATCGGGCAATACTGTCACTTATGAGAAATATGTATTTGGTCATTCAGATGATTCAGATGACCAAATATATATTTCTCATAAGTATGTGGTCTTCATCCACAGTGCCTGGCTCTCTGCTCCCCAAACCCTCAACGTTTCCCAAGTGTTGAGAGTGCTAAAGGTGTCTTTTGTTGATGAAGGCGACTTCTGGAACCCACTCACTCAAGCTGCCAGGAGGTCCAACCATGTGATCAGAGGGCTGGAACTTTTGGCCCCACGCCTGACCTCTGGGGAGGGGAAAGGGCCTGGAGGTTCAGTCAGCCAATGGTCAATGATTTAATCAATCGTGGCTATGCGAAGAAGCCTCCCTAAAAACCCAAAAGGGCTGGGTTCGGAATTTTCCGGATTGGTGAACACCTGGAGACTGGGAAGAGTGGCTGTCGGGAGAGGGCATGGAAGCTCCACACCCTTTCCCCAGACCGCTCCCTGTGCACCTCTTCATCTGGCTCTTGATTCTTACTCTTTGTCATACCCTTTAACAAACAGGTAAACGTGTTTCCCTGAGTTCTGTGGGCCGCTGCAGCAAATTACGGAGGAGGTCACTGGAACCTCCAATCTGCAGCCAGTTGGTCAGAAGCACAAGTCACATCCTGGGATTTCCGACTGGTGTCTGAATTCGGGGGCAGGAGGCAGTCTTATAGGACTGAGCCCTTAACCTGTGAGATCAGATGCTATTTCCAAGGCAGACAGTGTCAGAATGGAGTTGAAGTCTCAGACACCTTGCTGCTATCCCAAGAATTGCTTAGGTTTGTATGTGTGGGAATCTCTCCACTGCACGATGGAACTGGGTCCGGGAACTCAAGAAGAGGTAATAAATTTTATATTATGTGTATTTTAACAAAGTAAGAAAAAAGGTACATTTAAAAATTAAAACCATTCGCCAGCCTTGGGGGGAAAAAAAAAAAGACTTAACTGTAAAGCTACGGTCATCATGGCAATGTGGTTCTGGTGAAGGAGCACACACAGATCAGCGGGGCAGAACAGAGCCCAGAAATAAGCCCCCATTAACACAGTCAGCTGCAACAAAGGAGCAAAACTGTCTCTTCGGGAAATGGGTGCCGTGACGGCAAAACATCCCCACGGCAACGGCGTCCAGACACAGACCTCACATCCTTCTCAAAAATTAACTCAAAATGGGCTACAGACCTGAATGTAAAATGCAAAACTAGAAAGTCCTAGATGAGAACAGGGGAAAACCTAGGTGACCCTAGCGTAGTGTGGTGACCACTTTTTGGATACGGCACCGAAGGTGCGATCCGAGAGAGAAATATGTGATGAGCTGGACTTCATTAAAATTCAAAACTTCTGTTCTACAGAAGACACTATCAAGAGAATGAGAAGACAAGCCACAGACTGGGAGAGAGAATGTTCGCGAAACACACACATGACAAAAGACTGTTAACAAAATATACAAAGAACTCCTACATCTCAAGAATAAGAAAATAACCTGATTAAAAAATGGACTACAGGGCGCCTGGGTGGCTCAGTTATTTGGGTGACTGCCTTTGGCTCAGGTCATAATCCTGGAGTCCCAGGATCGAGTCCCGCATCAGGCTCCCTGCTCAGCGGGGGGGTCTGCTTCTCCCTCTGACCCTCTTCCCTCTCGTGCTCTCTGTCTCTCATTCTCTCTCTCTCAAATAAATAAATAAAATCTTTAAAAAAAAAAAATGGATTACAGACCTGAACAAAGAAGACCCACGGGTGGCAAATAAGCACATGAAAAGGGGCTCCACATCGTCCTGTATCATCAGGGAGACAAGTTTCAACCACAAGGAGACACCACTGCACACCGATGAGAACGGTGCCCAGCGCTGACGGGGATGGGAGAGCAGCAGAGACTCGTACTCACTGCTGATGGGGACGCAACGTGGCGGAGCCGCTGTGGAAGTTGGGCGGAAGTCTCACCAAGCTAGACACAACCGTACTGTATAATCCAGCGACCGTGCGGCTTGGCACTTACCCAAAGAACGTACGAACTTAAGTCAACACAAAAACCTGCACACGGATCTTACAGCAGCTTTTCTCTTAACGGCCAAAACCTGGAAGCAACTAGGATGTCCTTCAATAGGTAGATAAATAAACTATGGTGCATCCAGACAATGAAGAATTATTCAGCGCTAAAAAGAAATGAGCTGTCAGACCATGAAAGACACGGAGAAAGCTCATAATGCACACCACTCAGTGAAAGAAGACAATCTGATACGGCATTCTGGAAAAGGCAAAACTATGGAGTAAATAAAACGATTGGTGTTTGCTGAGGAATGAATAGATGGAGCACAGAGGATTTTTACAAATAATATCATGAAGGAAAACACTGTATGATGCCATATGGCAGATACATGTCTACACTTGTCCAAGCCCACAGAAGGCACCCCACCAAGAGCGAAGCCTCACGTCAGC